ATCCTTTTAGTCAAATTAGTTTTGTTTAGTTATTTAGGACCTGTTTGGCCAACCTTCAAAATCATGATTTTGGAACCTAAACCATGGTTTGGATTCCAAACTTGCCAAACAGGAGAATAAATTGACAAACTACAGTTTTGAACCCAAAACCATGATTTTAGAAGAAGTGAATTCATTCTGTTTCTGGATCAAATTGGAAAATATGATTGTGCCTGTCAGAGTAGATCCAAACGGTAATATGACTTTAACACCCCTCAATTATTTTTTTATAAACATATTTAATCTTATATTTTATAAATATATATACACATATTAATTATTTATTAATTACATTATCTTATATATTATTAATTATGTTGGTAAAAATATATTATTAACAATTTTATTTCTTCAAATTAAAATATATTATAAAATCTATTTTTATGTAATTATCATATTAACTTATACTTTTTTTTATTAATTTGCACATATAAAAAGTGTTTCGGATAACAACTATTCAAACACTCTTATTTTGTTAGAATCACTTTTTCACAAAATCTATTCTTCACAAAATCTATTTTTCCAAGAATCTATTCTCCAGAAACTATTCTCTAAACTATATTTGGTTTCATCCAAATATCTCATTAATCATTGGTGAAAGATGACCCCGAGACATATCAACATCCGTAGCAAATAAAGGAAATTTAAAAGAAAAGAAAAGAAAAAGAAAATCATCTTGTTCGTATGCTTACGGTTTGAGAGGATGAAGAGTTCTATTTCTTGGCTTGAATTTATTTGAGACTTGTGTGAATGGCATCATCTATGTGTTTTATAGTTTTATTTTACAAAAAAAAAAATTAGATGAGTTGAATTGATCTCAGGAGCTTATTAGGATTGAGGCATGCTTTCAAACTCAAAAAATATTTACAGAAGTACATACAAATTGTCTACTAATAAGGTTCTCACATTGACAGCCAAATTCGAACTAAAACAAAAATCAAACAGACTATTATATTATGGACCGGATGTAGTATTAATGTACATAAATATATAAAAATGTTCATATATAACTTCTAAAATAAATTTATTTGAATAAAAAGACATTAATTCCGAAATAAAATCAACATTTATGTATAATACATACATGATCCAACAAAACAAAGTTATTGAAGTAAAAATATGATGAAATACAATTTTTTTTTAATTTTAAACTCAAGGCAATATTGTTTTAAGCTTAGTAAAAAAACATAAAATTCAACTTGGTTAGATCTTCTAATACTTTTGACCGTGTTGGCCAAGTGATTAGTGGTTCGTTGACTTGACTGGCCGACCCAAATTGAATTTCAATACCAAGCAATAAAAATGAATGAATGAGAGTAGTTTTTTTTTTTTTGAAAATAAAGATCATAAAAACAGTAATAATATGGTAATAATATGATACAATCTTTTATCCTAATTATAAGACATTATTTATAAACTATAAATAGAGTCTTATAATTAAGACCCAATAATAAGCAGAGGAAGCAAAGGAAGGTAATGTGTTTGACTTTTTCATCGGGCCCACATGATATAAATAGCAAGGGGGTTAAACACGAGAAGTGGGGAGCTGAGGGGGCCCCGGGGAGATTGCTTGGGAGTGAACGCAAATTACCAAGTTTGTTTGGTTAAGCTTTTCCTAAAAACGGAGGTTTCTTGAGGCAACACATTCATTTCCAAATCTGAGACTTTCAACTTTTCCCATTTTTTCTTTCTCTCTCTCTCTCTCTCTGTCTGTGTTTTCTCTCACACACAGATCTAGAGAGCGAAAGTATGAGTCTATCATCTATGACAGACAAATCAATAAAAACAAAACTAAAGGTCGTCCGTGGACGTTTGACACGAACAACACAGTGTTTGTCTGACTGAGATTTGCTTCTACTTAACAAAACCAAGCAAAAGCCAATAGGCCTCCGGAAAGAGAATATTATGACTCTTAGAAACAAGAAAGGAGGCGTCAGAATATGCTATGCCTATGCTCACTCACATTCACACCCTCTTTCTTTCTTTTGCAGTTTTACGCGCGCACTCTCTGTTCTCTGTAATAATAATAATAAATTAATAACATACTAGCTCTATAATAATAATAATAATAATAATAATTATTATTATTATGTTTATTTTTATGTTTTATATAAAAATTAGTTTCATATTCAATTTAATTTTAAATATAAAATCTTGATTTAATTTATCTTTCATATTTATTTATTTTTTTATGATATTAAAAGTATAATCAAATAGTACTATCTCAACTCAAAATATAAGACTGAATTTATAGTCTATAAATAGAGGTTTATATTTAGAATCGGAGTTAATAATTTTAACCAATATATATTATTGGTAAGAATATTTTTAAAAAATAATATTTATTTATTATAAATAATTAATTTAATTAGTTTTTTTAGTTTATTTAAATTAATCAACTAATTTTTATATAAAAATAAGACTTTTTATTTTTTTACCACCCTAAGGCGTATCATTATATACCTAGGTATCTACATCTATAATATAATATTATTATATCAGCCAAGGAAGAGGTAGCTTTTGAGAGTTCACGCCACACTGCTGTGTAAAAGCACAACTCATCAGGGAGTGAGCTGATGGATTAGACGTATGATGACTGACGAACTGTTGCTATACGGATACATTTTTCAACAACAACCAATAGCCCTCAACATGCCTGTACTTCAAAATTGTCCCTTTCCCTGTCCCCAACAAGGTTCTAAAGCATTACTTACCTATGGGACAAGCAAAGCAAGTTGAATTGGCTTAGTGAAGGGGCACTTGCAGCCGCGTTTTATTTTATCTGGAATAAAAAAATTTTATATATTTATTTTATATTTTATGAATTACAATTAAAAAAATTGTTTATAAGTCTTTTCAAACAGGTTCTTAATTAAAAAAAAGAAAATTAATTTTTTTCGCTTATAATTTTGTCTGACTCAGCATCTAAATTTTAACATGGTGGAATCCAATATGTAAACTTAAACTTAATACCAGTAAAAAAAAAAAACTTAGACTTAATACAATCAAAGCCTAAAAAGCTACAAAGGCTTTTTTAATAAAAATTTATTAGATAAGTTGAATCTTAAGGATTCATCATGGTTATGATATGTCTCTAAATTTAAAGAGTATTTATAGGTTACATATTGCCACTCAGGACTTTGTAAATTATAAGCAAACCCTTTGTCAATTGAATTAACTTTTATGAGTTAAAAATTAAAGTGTTAAATAGTTTTTAAAAAAAAGAATTGAATTATAATAAGTTAAAGTTTAGAAATTAAATTTAAATTGAGTTATAATAAGTTACAGTTGTAGGCATAATTTCAACAAAATTAAAATTATAGTGGTTAAGTTATATTGAGCCAAAATTTTGAGAATTGAATCAGAATGAGTGAAAATTATAAAAGCCAAACATTAATAGTTTAAAGGGGAAAAAAAAATTAAGAGTAATATCTTAAGATGACCTCAAGGAGACGAACCCGATGGATTCATTTATTAGCCAAACTCCAATATTCCTATTTATTTTATCGCAGGCATGCGAATGACAATGAATCTAGCTGTTAAACATGATGTACCTGTGTGCAGGGTTTTGTTGTCACTAAGTAAATTTATGTGAATAGAACGTCAAAGTTTGACCAGTTCAAATTATATGACATTATTTTACTAAAAAGTTTTTCATCAAGTTTTATGTATGATGTATCACATTTGACATAGGGGAAAAATTAAAATATTGGGTTCGAAATAAAAAAAATAAAACATCATAAACTTTCAAATTCTTTTAGGTTAAAGTTTTGAGCTTTAATTTTTTTTATATAGTGTAAATTTTTTAAGAATCACTTAGTGCCAGCTAAGAATGAGGTGAGAGGCAGAGCTATGGTGATCGAGGTAAGTGGGGCTTTCCTCACTTCAAATTAAAATCTTTTTTTTAACCCTACTTATTTCTAGTATTTTGATTTTTGACCCCACCAATCTGAACTCAAATATATTTAAGCATATTCCTCACTGACCTAGGCCTAGGTCAGCCACGTTACCAAAAAAAAAAAGCAACAAAATAATTTTAAAAATATTAAAAATTGTTGAACTACTCTTAATGCCATTTAGAGTTCAGAGTTACGAAGTATAAATTTTCTGTTTTGATGGTTTCCTGAGTTGTTTCAGCTGCTCGCATTCACAGAGGCGTGTCTTCCAAGATTTTCTCGTACGCACACATTGCCTTCTCCTCAAGAGTTTTCAACTACATGCATACAGATGGGTCATTCTTTGTCCCTTTGTGTGAATAATCAATGCTACAACAAGTGTCGGAAAAAAAGTCCGATTTTTTTAATTAAGTTTGGAGTTAATAACGAAGTGAGAATTAATTGTTACGGTCATAAAATATTATTTTTATAGTTAGGCCATGTGTTGTATCATGAAGAGTATGTACTTGCAAGGAGTTCGGCTCTCACCAGTCACCACCGGCGGCATCTTTCACTCTTTTTGAGTTTTTCTGCAACTTCGTCGTTCCAATCCTCGGCATTGACAAAACAACACTGAAATGATAGACGCATCCATCCCAAGCACCGCACATGATTATTTAATTCTCTCCCTCCCTCTCTCTTCGAAAATAAGCCCACGAGATCATCAACAAAAGAAGATCATATATTTACTATATATATTTGTATATTATATATATAGACAAGAAGCTAACATCTAAACTCACTTATAGTCCGAGTTCATTCCATATCGGTACACTAGTTTGGAAGCTCCTGTTTCCCTCTTGATTATCTTCTTGTTCTTCTTCTTCCGTTAGCATTCCAAAAGGCAACCTATCTGTACTTTCTCTCTTACTATAGGCGCTTTCCCTATTATATATCAACCCAAACACAAAGCAGAAAGGCCTAGCTCTACTTGTAAACTAGATTTTCCAAGAAACCCCACCAGATAAAAAAAAGAGTTTCCATCTTAAGCTAAGCTTGCTATTTTAAACCTTTAGCCTCATCTACATGGAGGGTTTTCACCCACTTATGACTTGCTCATCATCACCGTTTGCTTACACTTTTAATCTCAGTGCTGGTTCTGGTGTTTCATCTTCATCAAGCACATACAGCACCCCATGGATGGACTCTAGGATATGGAGCAAGCTTCCACAGCGAATTCTTGACAGAATCTTAGCCTTCCTTCCACCGCCTGCTTTCTTCCGAGCACGCTGTGTCTGCAAGAGATTCTATGGCCTTTTGTTTTCCAACACTTTCCTTCAACTCTACCTCCAAATCTCACAACCCCACCATTGGTTCATATTCTTCAGCCACAACAAAAGCCTCAAGAGCAGCTATATCTACAATAAGAACCCTAGTACCAGTGGCGGAAGTGGAAGTGGAAGCAGTAGTAGTGGTACTACTACGACTGCTACACACTGTTGTGAAGCGTACCTGTTTGATCCGTATGAAATCGCATGGTACCGTATTCCCTTTCCCCTTCTTCCTTCTGGTTTCTCTCCATCTTCTTCTTCTTCAGGCTTGGTCTGTTTTGTTTCAGACGAGGCTGGTCCCAAGACTCTTATTCTCTCCAATCCCATTCTTGGTACTATGACTCAACTACCTCCCACAATAAGACCAAGACTCTTCCCTTCCATTGGCCTGGCCATTTCCCATTCCTCAATAGATCTCACTGTTGCAGGTGACGACATGATTTCCCCTTATGCTGTGAAAAACCTAACATCTGAAAGCTTTCATATTGACTCAAGTGGGTTTTATTCCATATGGGGGACCACATCTTCCCTTCCCAGACTGTGTAGTCTGGAATCTGGTAAGATGATTCACGCAGGAGGGAGATTCTATTGCATGAACTACAGCCCTTTTAGTGTCTTATGCCACGACATTTCCTCAAACACTTGGTGCAAAATCCAAGCCCCAATGAGGAGATTTTTAAGGTTTCCAAGTTTAATTGAAAGCAAAGGCAAGTTACTGTTAGTTGCAGCAGTTGAGAAGAGCAAGCTTAACATCCCGAGGAGTTTAAGGGTCTGGATTCTTCAGGCTTGCGGGACAACGTGGGTTGAGACGGAGAGGATGCCTCAGCAACTTTATGTGCAATTTGAAGAATTTGAAGGAGGGAATGGTTTTGATTGTGTAGGGCATGGTGAGTTTATTGTGATAATGATCAGAAGAACAGATAAGGTTTTGCTGTTTGATATCTGCAGAAAGAGATGGCAGTGGATTCCACCATGTCCTTACGTTGCTCCAAGTAATAATGGTGCTTTTGCTTTGCATGGCTTTGCTTATGAGCCTAGACTTGCCACCCCTGTCACTGCCCTTCTGGATCAACTAGCACTTCCATTTTAGAGCTTTATAGGTTAGTAACACGTTCTCAGGATTAATGCTTTCACAATTCATTCAATTATGAAAATTACATTCCCTTCTATTTACAAGCTAAGCATTACTTCCTGTCTTGTAGGAGCTTCTACTGGCAGCCAAGTATTCAAGTGGCATATTTATTTTCAGGAAGGATGGACAGAAAAAACCTTTATACGCTGAGATTGGAGGATTGTCTTCAATTTTTACAGTTTGAAAAGCGTATTTGCTCTCTTTTTTCCCCCTATGGTAGGAAGTATGGTTGTGGATGTAATGGAGCTGAAACTCTAGTTAATTACTAGTTACTGGGAGTATGAAAAAATGGTAATGCTATGGACCTTAGTGATCAGAGTTATTAGGAGTTCTCCTGATGTACCTAGGCTAGGGTATAGCAAGTTTTAGCTATAGCTTATATAGATTGGGATGTGTGCCAGTTTAACTTTTGTTCACTGGTCCTAGGTTTTGTTCGATGTTAAATGTCTTTCGTATTGTTGCAGTTGAAGTAAAAGGAGGTTGTCTTGTAATTGACTTGTGGTTTTTGGGGTAAGCGAGGATTTTAACATTAGGTGAACAAGATGTTGGAACTTAGCTTGTCGGTTGGCTATTTTTATATTCATAACGTCTTTCATATTCTTCCCTTGTTTGTGGTTGACGCATTAGTTTCGCCTTTGTTTTGAAATAGAAGATGCGTAGGTGTTTGTGGGGGGAAGCTAGTTTCAGGAATATTTTATATTACAGAACTAATTAGACTTTTTAATTGGACATTTTCAAGTTTCCAATGGCCACTGTTATGGCCATACGAGGTTTGAGATGAGATTAGGTTCGATGCTCACATATGTTGTCCAAGTTTGAACCGAGGTGAAGGTTGAAGAAAGAGTGTAATGACTAATGAGAGAGCAAGTTTAAATCAAGAGAAATATTAAATTATGGCTCTCACTTAACTATATATATGTATGCTTCAAGTCAAACACTTTTTTTTTTTGGGGAGAATGGCAATTAGGTTCCACTTAAGGGAATTAAATGTAAAAAAGTCCTTTGAAATCATAAAATTATTCTGAAATCTCAAAAGACTTTTTTACAATAAATTTTATTTATTTAATTACCAAATTACTTTTTTTTTTTTTTAAACTTTGTATTGACAACTAAAAAGCAGTGGTTGACAACTCAGAGTGTAAGGATTGAGTATTGACAACTATCGCGGCTGGTTTGACAACATATTTTTTCAGTATATCATATTATAAGTTGTCAAACCAGCTGCGATAGTTGTCAATCCTTACACTCTGAGTTGTCAACCACTGCTCTTTCAGTTATCAATGCAAATTTAAAAAAAAACAAGGGTAATTTGGTAAGTAAACAAATAAAATTTAATGCAAAAAAAATTTTGGGACTTTAAAATAATTTCATGATTTCAAAAGACTTTTTTGTATTTAATTCCCTTGAGTAGGACCTAATTGCCATTTTTTCTTTTTCTTTTTAAAAAAAAAGGTTTCTTGCGTTCTTTTAATTAATAATACATATAGTGTATATATACGAAAACAAATTTATTTGGTATGTTGACATAGTATAGTGAGAAATTTAATAAATAAGTTAGTATTATGGAGAAATGCCAATTAATAATGATGGGACAGCGTTAGTATAAAACGGCTAATAATCAAAACAACGGATTCTTTGGGACAATTATGCTTCGTTATTGATTTGTCTTGACGCAGGTTGGAACGAATTGATTGTCCCCCATGGATTGGGTGCAACATGAAAGTGCAATCAATTCATTCCAAACTTGTGTTGAAAAAAATCATTCTTTGATGAACAACCAAAATTTTTATGTAAAAAAAGTTAATGATTTGTCAGGTGTAATTTATAAAAAGGATAAATATATAACTTTACTTGGAAAGTTTTCACACAGGAGCTCTAGGTGCCAAGAAATCTTTTTTAAACAAATTTATCTCGAAAGTTTAAAATTATGATGATAAAAAATGTTAATGACTTGTTATTATTTTAATAGTCAATGTTAATTATATAATAATATGAAGCAATATTAATATGATTTTAAATTTTCAGAATAAATTTGCATCCAAAAACATTTATGAGTGATCAGCACTCATGAGTAAAAACTTTCTGAGCAAATTTAGAGCTTAATCTTTTATAAAAGGAAAAATTGAAAATAAATCCCTATTTGAAAAGTTAATTATAGAATGAGACCTTAACTTTTGAGGTCCTTTTGGAGAATTAAAAGGAAAAGGAAATTACCACAATTCCCTTAATGAAATACAACCAGGATCAAATATATGCAATTGGAGATCAATGATATGTAATTATGATCAGTAATGTGCAATTATGTCTCATATGCAACAAGGTAGATGCAATATGTAATTAGATCAAACATATGCAACTAGAGATCAAAGATATATAATTATGATCGATGATATTTAATTAGATCTTACATGTAACTAAGCATCCTTAATATGCAACTAGGATCAATGATATACAATTAGGATCAATGATATGTAATTAGAACCTATATACAATTAGGCATATGTAATATGCAATTAGGATTAAGCATAGATAACTAGAGATCAATGAGATGCAATTATAATAAGCGATATCCATTTAGACCCTATATGCAACTAGGCATCTCAATATACAATTAGGATCAAACATATGTAACTTGGGATCACAGATATGCAATTAGGATCAATGATATACAATTAGGTTTTATATACAATTAGGCATATGTAATATACAATTAGGATCTAATATATGTAATTGGAGATCAAGGATATGCAATATTTAGAATCAGTGATATATAATTAGGTTCTATATGCAACTAGGCATATGCCATACGCAATTAGGATTAATAATATGCAACTCGGGATCAAGGATATGTAACTCGGGTTATTTCATCTTTTTAAATAGGGATTTTTTTCTAATTTTCTCTTTATAAAAAGGTAAAAGTCTATCCACGCTTTTTTTTTTTCTTTTATCCCTAGCATCAATCGTGTGCTCAAGGGACCACTGAAATTTGAAACTGCACACATGCCCAGTTCTCCTACAGTAGTAAGCCTGCCAATGACGTCCGAAAAGAAAGAGACAGATTTTTATTTGTCAATTACATCATGGAACCTAAACTAAAAACACTTGAGACTAAAACGCAATTAATTTTCAGTCCCAAAAAAAAACACAATTAACTTAATATAACAACTAAATAACGATCATCAAACACAAAAATGAAATCTGAGCAAATGTTGGGAGCTAACAGTTTGTTTAGAATGATTTAAAAGTGACTTTTTAATTGAGATTCATGAAGAGTTTTGTCTTGACTTATATCAAAATATTTATAAATACTATACAAGTCCTAATTATAATTAAGATCGGTAATAGTATTTATAAATGGTAAATCCAAACAAGCAACAAAACCATAAAGATGCTTGGCAAAACTTCTAACATGACGTTGAATGACACCACTCCCGGCTGTTGCAAGTACCCCCAAAAACAAAAAAAGAATCCAACAATATGTATCATATGGTATACCTAACATAAGGATAAAGAATATATCAAATGGGGGGGGGGGGAAGCATAAACAAATAGAGACCCTTCCTCGTGAGAGTGACGCTCATCACGCATTGTCCACAAATACAGGCTCCAAACCTTAGTTCTATCTTTGGTACGAGAAAAATATAGAGAATGAGAATGAAAAGTTTGACGAGTTTGATTTAAAAAAAATTGGAGAGTCAGCTTATGCAATCCCTAGAATTACCCTCTTGGCAAGGATTTGAAAATTAAGAGGTCAAACATGAAGTACTATTATGACCTTCACTCACGTCCCCAGTGCCTGGAATTTTCTCCTTGGCATAAACTTCAAAGTAAGACCAGGAACTAATAATGATCTAATTAAATAAAATAATAGAGAAAGACTATTTTTAGTTATTATATATAATTAATAATAGAAAAATACTAAAATAAAAATAAAAATGTGAGATGTAAGTGACTGACTGCATCCATATATGATGGTACTCTTTTTTTTTTTTTGGCCAAATGATGGGATTCTATTTCAGTCATTGATCACTCTCATAACAAACTGATGACTGGTTTTGATGAATTTGACAGGATATGCCAAATATCACTGTTTATACTTTTTTTTTTTGGGTGAGAAATATCACTGTTTATACTTGGATATCACATTAACATGCACCAAACATATTGGAACAATTTTTTTTTGAAAAAAGATTTTTTTGGCCTGAAGTATACTTTTTTTAAGGCTCAAGCTTTATATGCATTTTGGAATCTATATATTTATGAAATTATTTTTTCTTCTTAATAAAATAGGACCTATCTATTATTTTATTATATATAGACAATATTCATAACTCATTTTAAGAACACATTTATTAATTTCTTTCACTCTAATTTTAAGTAATAACCTGTTCATCTCTTTTAATCTACCCTCACACAATTATGCCAATAAAAAATGATTTTAAAAGATATACAAAATTTTTATATTTAATTAGTTTCAA